TTGATCCCGCAGGATGGACGCTGTTGCATAGGGGATAGAAATGCATGTTCATCGCCTGTTTATGACAGAATCGCGAACGTTCTATGAGTCTGCTTGATGCAGTGTAAGCCATGACCCGAACCAGCCTGTCATTACATGTTTGTTATGACGTGTCTCCTGGCCTGAACTCACCAGCCATGACCAGTGTATTATTTGTTTTCCAAGTCTAACCAGTGATGTTTAACCGAGCGCAAAGTGCGACGACACGCTACCAAGCCAGAAGCCCACGTTCCTTGTGTGTTTGGGTCACGTTTGCACGTTGATAAAGTCCATTAACTGTCACCGTAGGCGTAAAAGTATCTAGCTACCACAGCTCTCACGTGACTTCCTATTTTGTAGCCTTGCAAGCACACACGGACGAAAAATACGTTCACTTTCGCCAGAACAACTGAACGGAACAGAAATGTTTCTCGATCACCAATACTTTTTAAGTCGAGACAAACGACGATGGCGTCGTGTGTTGGACAGAGTCACTCGAAGAAAGTATTCAAATAATTGAACCAAGGGTTGTCAATTGGCGGTTTTTCCGCAAGATGGCAATGCAGACCATCTACGCATTTCCGTCTGCCGCTGAGGCTTCTTGTTTGGAGACCACCATGCCTGCTTCGACGAAGGAGCGCAGCCAGGGAGGGGCTCCGGATCTCCCTAGATCCGGTGTTTCCGCTTTCCACCACAAAAACTTTTCACTTTCCTCCCAACAGAAAGTTGAAGGCTGGCGTGAGGCGTAATCCCCGAGCTCCAGGCCCGTACCTTAAAAATATCGTGGCTGCGCGCCTGCTTGTACATCATAGCTGAGACAGCAGCGTAGGAGAGGGGAACAAAACACCAGTCACTCTTCCAGAGACGAAGTATCTCTGGATACATCTGCGTGCGGTAATATTTAAATATATTTAGTGAGCTTTTTCGTGAAAACAGTGCCTATGCGTAAGGTCAAAATTGCTAACCCGCCTGTCAAGCACCGGCTGTTTGCCATTATACTTCAGCTGTTTTTACACGATAACAAGGCATCGCGACTAGACGCACAAGTCGAAATGAGCTAATCAAATCTGCGCAAGCCTTAGAATATGCAGCCAGAGAAAAACATCGCTGTCATTGGAAGGTCATATAAACGATACGTCCTGATACACAGTTGCCCGGATCTATCACAGCTTCACATCTTCCTTGCGTTATACACTCTCTCGCTCCAATCCCAACCCACCAAATCGTACACATCAGCCGTATTTACTACAGCAAACGGTCCTCACGTTTATGGCGTGGCATGTTTTTCATCTGTTCTTGTTCTTCGGATGGGCACTTACCGGTACGTTCAAATTGCTTCAGTTAAATTATAAACGCATGAAATGAATTTGTCTCAATTATTGTGCTTGATGAATGAGGCCTTTGTTCTGGCTATAGTCGGGTTAAATATGACTAACGCGGCGCACATTTTTCCCCATGAAATAATGAATTGGAATTTGTAAGGCAAACCTGGCATTATCGAAATCGGGTAGGCTGGTCGCTAATATTTGGTAGCTATTTAGTTCACTTAGTTTGATAGTTATTATCATTTTTGTATCGGCCGGCTGGCCGTAGAAAATATGAAACCATAGGCAGTGGTTTAGGAAGTGGAATCAGGCCTTGCAACAAAGCAAGGTATATGATCCCCACTTTTTTCAACATCGCTTCTTCTCGGCCCTATTCCGGCTGTGCCACCGAAACTCTGTCGACAGACAGAGGCTCACACACTGGCAATCCCCACCGTATACAGACAGAGGCCCTCATGCTGTTTATCTCCGTTGTCTTCAGGCAAAGGCCCTCACATTGGGAAACCTTCATCGTCTACACACAGAGACACTGGCACTGGAAACCTCCATCGTCGACAGGGACAGACCCTTACTTAGAAAATCCCCGGCGTCGACAGGCACAGGCTCTCACTGGCAATCTTCGTCGTCGACAGGGATAGGCCCTTACTTAGAAAATCCCCGGCGTCGACAGGCACAGGCTCTCACTGGCAATCTTCGTCGTCGACAGGGATAGGCCCTTACTTAGAAAATCCCCGGCGTCGACAGGGATAGGCCCTTACTTAGAAAATCCCCGGCGTCGACAGGGATAGGCCCTTACTTAGAAAATCCCCGGCGTCGACAAGCGCAGGCTCTCACTGGCAATCTTCGTCGCCTGCAGGCGAGGTCCTCACTGGGAACCCCCGCCGCAGGCGGAAGCCGGCTACAGCAGCAGTTTGCATAGGCAGAGGCCGTATGAAAGCGGCCAGGGTCTCCTGTACCAACACTTTCACCCCGAGACAGTCAGGGTCACGAGGACAGTGCACCGCCCTCTTCCCAGCCCCGCGGCCAGAGCCGTGCGTGCACTCGAGCTTCCTGGAGCCCCCGGGCGCCCTCGCAATGGCCCCCCTCGGCGCGCGGCCTCGTTACGAAGGCCGGGCATTGATTCGCCGCTGTGAGCACTGACCGACTTCCGTAAATGATCAGAGGAGCTCCGGCCGCGTGCAATCTCTGAACCGGCAGTTTCCAGTGCCAGGGCGCCGGCTCAGTCCCGGTTCGGGGCTGGTCCGGCGTGCTCGGAGCGTGCCAGCCCGCCGGACGGTATTTATACCCGACTGCGGATTGTTCTGCGTCCAAAACTGCAGAGGCGGCGCAAGGTGCCCCTGAAGGGGAGCGGACGCGGCAGGAAAGACGTCACAGGGAGACGGTGCGATAGGGGAGACGGTGCGATAGGGGAGACGGTGCGATAGGGGAGACGGTGCGATAGGGGAGACGGTGCGATAGGGGAGACGGTGCGATAGGGGAGACGACGCAATAGGGGAGACGGTGCGATAGGGGAGACGGTGCGATAGGGGAGACGGTGCGATAGGGGAGACGGTGCGATAGGGGAGACGGTGCGATAGGGGAGACGGTGCGATAGGGGAGACGGTGCGATAGGGGAGACGGTGCGATAGGGGAGACGGTGCGATAGGGGAGACGGTGCGATAGGGGAGACGGTGCGATAGGGGAGACGGTGCGATAGGGGAGACGGTGCGATAGGGGAGACGGTGCGATAGGGGAGACGGTGCGATAGGGGAGACGGTGCGATAGGGGAGACGGTGCGATAGGGGAGACGGTGCGATAGGGGAGACGGTGCGATAGGGGAGACGACGCAATAGGGGAGTCGTCACGAGAGGGGAGCCGTCACTTCAGGACAGTCGTCCTAACGCACCCCTGAGGCGTCACTAAACATCTCCTAAGCTATCGCTGGAGACACCTCTGAGCTGTCGCACACAGCTCTGCACCATCACAACAGCCAAGGTGTGGGCGACTTGGACCCTGATATCACATCAGGGATGTGAATCACATGAGCTGGAGAGCAGTCACTACCTGAAAACTCTTCCCTAAGCCGGCTTATACATACCAGATAAGATCAAGGACGTGGTTCTTAAACATTGACTGCACAATTATGAAGCAACTTTGCAGATTTGCGACTAAAACTCAACTCGGGCAATTGCCTCCGTCGCCCACCATTGACGCCAGATCTCTGATTTCCAGCTTCAAATTTGTATTGTTAGACTGTGCCGCAACATTCCAGTGCCCGTCGGCACAGCAGGACCCCAGCGGCTTCGCGGAGAAGTCAGCGTGGTCTGCCTTCGACACGACCGTTATAACCTGCCCCAGAGCCATCTAAGGGTGGGACTCGTGAGGTTGCCTGCCGCTTACATACTGCAGGGCTCTGTGTGCCTCGTTCCGTCATGAATGTTACAAAGCAGCTGGCCAGCTGGGACCGGTGGCTTTAACCCGATTGTAAGCAAAGCGTTGAGCAGCCTTAACTCCCCGCCTCACAACCAGCGCGAGCCATGCCCAGCTGACAACACACCCATCACACACCACTGCACCGTCATGTGGCACGTCACGTGGAGATGGTGTGACGATGTGGCGGTATGAAGTGTGACGGCGTGATTTGTGAGTTGTGGGATGTGATGGTGTGACGGTGTGATGGTGTGACGGTGTGATGGTGTGACGGTGTGATGGTGTAGCGATGTGACGGTGTGACGGTGTGAACATGTGAAAATGTGACGATGTGACAGTGTGACGATATGACGGTGTGACGCCGTGACAGTGCGACGGTGTGACGGTGTGACGGTGTAACGATGTGGCAATGTGACAGTATGACAGTGTGGCAGCGCGAGGTGTAACGATGTGCCAGCGTGATAATGCGACAATGTGACGGCGTGACAATGTGACAATGTGACGATGTGACAATGTGACGATGTGACAATGTGACGATGTGGCTGCCGGCCGGAGACGCCCAGTGCTTCGCGCCCGACACATCGCCCGCCCAATGAGCCGTTACGTCACGCTGTCAGCTGGCACGTGCCTGTGAACATGCCACAGGGGCCGCTGTGACACAGATCAGCCCCGGCGACGCGCGGGACGGGGGAGGGGGGGGGGGGGGCGCAGCGAGCCTCTCGCCGGTGGGGATTGGTCGTGTCGGCGTGGTATTTAGCGGGGGAGGGGTATAAGGAGGGGAAATGGGGATATTCAGGGAATTCGCCTGTGAGAGCTGAGCTAAAGCAGTGAACTGTTAAGGTATTAGGATGACCAATGGTACGTAGAGCTTCGAAATGCATGGAGTAGTCGAACCGTGGTTATTTTGTTTGCCCATTCAAGAACACGCTTGCTTGGGAACTCCTGGTATGTCTCGTGAAATGTGCGATAGGAAATCGATGAAATGACAAGAAATTGAAGAAAATAAAGAAATGAAAGCGTGGAAAGACGCGATACATGACCGTGCATTTGCGGACCCTCATTGTTTGTTACATGAATTATATTGCCGCTGTGACAGCGTTGCTTATGCATCTATGCCCATGCGATGCTATGGGGTCCGCTGACTCCGTCACTGTCGTTGCAGCACCACCCGCTGGCGTCCGCTGACTCCGCCACTGCGTTAGACCAGCTGTCTGCGTTCATCTTGTGCCGGGGCGGGAGAGTCGAGCCAACTTCCGCCCCCAGAACTGTGCCGGGGCTTCACCCGGAGCTTATGAGGCTGGTGGGCGTCTCTCAGGGAGCTGCATTGTGAGCTAAACCGGGAGCTACGGTGTGAGCCAAACCAGGACCTACTCAGTGATCCAGACCAGAAAATACCCGGTGAGTAAGACTGGGTGTTACTGAGTGAGCAAGACCAGGAAATAGGTTGTGAGCTAGACCGAAAGCTACTGCGTGAGCCAGACCAAGAAATAAGGTGTGAGCCAGACCAGGAGCTACGGTGTGAGCCAGACCAGGAGCTGCGATGTGAGCCAGACCAGGAGATGCGGTGTGAGCCAGACCAGGACCTACGGTGTGAGCCAAACAGGCAGCGTCGAGGTGAGCCGGATCGGGGACCCTTAAGCATTACCGATAATTTCCCTGATACTTGAAGAGGCTACTGAGTGGGAAGGCTATTGAGAGAGTTCAAGAGACACCAGGAAACCGCGGTTTGAACGAAAACGGAAACCACCAACATCTTCAGGAGATCTCCCACTGCAGGCCAGCAGTATCGCCAGAAATGTGAGTGAGAACCATCCGAAAATGCGTAGCAGGAAATATCAACGAAAACCAAATCAAAGATCAGGAATTTTTCCCAGATTACAGCTATCGCTAAGAAACCGAGCTGCGCTCCAAATATCGTGCAGAACTTCACTGGGGACTTTGGACGCTGCTGAAAACGTTTTGTTCAAGCATAAAAAACAGCTCGGGTACCTGCGCGGTAGCAAACACGCTCCCCACAGCGAGCTGAAACGTGCTTCGCTTAGGTCACAAAAAAGCGGCGAAGAAAGTAAGTTGCCAGTTAATCAGGCAAATGTGCAGGAAAATTTTACTTCACCGATCTTCACTGATGGGGGTGCAAGTACTTGCGGCAGCTGTCCTTTCAGAGAGCACACTTTCATTTGGTGCTTCGTGGCGGCCATTTGCTTCAAATTTGCGCACGTCGTAAATGGTCAACCCATAAAGGACAGCTGATTGTTACGAGGCACTTTACTTTCTGGCTTAGCCTGGAAATGACTGGGGTGTCGCAAAACTCACGAGTAAATGACAGGGGTGTGGAGGGAGGCGTGAGGGGAGGCAGAGGGCACACCCTCCCCTAAGGTCCCGACGGTGTCCACGGGCTGATTGGAACCGACGATCAGCAACCCGATTGAATGGCCAAAATGACTGGCCGGAGTTCGCTTTCGGGGGGCCTAACCCGCAGGAACGGGTCGGAGGCCGTTTTCCGTGCAGGAAAACTATTATATAGGCCACATATATATATATATATATATATAGGGTCGGAGGCCATTTTCCATGCAGACACGACCGTAGTACACGATTTACACTGCTCGGCGCCCATGAAACAATGAGAGGGACCTGCTTAGGTCAAGGGCCCACGCTGCCAAAATGAGAGTCCTGTGATGGCCACCATCACCGAACAGTCCACTCCGTGGCAGTCTGGGGCCTGGGGACCCACTTCCCAAGCGGGGATCAGGCTGGGGCCGACGATCTGCATTGGTCGGAGTCCCTGAAACAGTGAGGGGTTACTGTGTCGGTCACTGTGTCGGTCACTGGCGGTCACTGTCGGGGTTGCTGTCGGTCACTGTGTCGGTCACTGGCGGTCACTGGCGGTCACTGTCGGGGTTACTGTCGGTCACTGTGTCGGTCACTGGCGGTCACTGGCGGTCACTGTCGGGGTTACTGTCGGTCACTGTGTCGGTCACTGGCGCACAGTACCTAACAAGCTCCTGCGCTGTCCAGATGACCTAAGTCGGCGAGAAGCACGCTGGCTGAAATGGGACATGAACGGAACCGCGAATATTAGAGACTACTTTGTGCTGAGCGGGGTTTATTGACAATGAAATGATATTTGAGAACTCATGATAAAGAAGTCCGTAGTGAGACCATGGAAGGACCCAGTATCAATGAGGGGCTCCAGTGACGAAGGTGCCCTCCATCCCATTTCTGCTAGCAGCACTGGAGGCCCTGTGCCAATTGTTGGGACCCCAACGCCGGTAAGGGATAATTTTACGTCCAAGAAGCTGTTGTATACAAGTTTTGTTGCGCCTCGTGTTTGTGTTGTGTGGGTGTGTTGAAACATCATGATGTATGCTGTAATTGTGTGTTTTGCCTGACGGTGCAGCGTTTATGAGTTGTGAAACACGTTGGGAGTTGATATAAGAAGTACAACTTAGTTGGCATATTTTGATGTGCATCACGACACCATGAGTAAGCCAGCATATATATATATATATATATATATATATATATATATATATATATATATATATATATATATATATATATATATAAATGTGTGTATATATATATATATATATATATATAAATGTGTGTGTGTATATATATATATATATGTGTGTGTGTATATATATATATATATATATATATATATATATATATATATATATATATATATATATATATATACATGGCATGGCATGGCATGGGCCATTAAAGAGTATGGCGTTTTCCACTCAGGGCAGCTCCTGGCTAGTTTTTTTCAGTCCTTCGTGCGTTGCATTAAACATCGTCTGCTACGATAAAAAACAATTCACCAAGAGACATGTGTCGTCTTCACCTGTATGATTAGAAATTTAGCGCTCGAATATGTCGTCATCCAATCTCAAAAGCGATACAAAACTATTCGGAACTCTTCCGTTTTCTGCAACCGTAAGCTATGTAACGCGGCAGAGTTCAGCATTTAAGCTTTTATAGCTGGAACGTGTGCGCAATGCCTATCGAACACAGGCTCCAACAGCGTCCTTTGTATACATTTTGGGCCATTTACTACGGGCGTTCATTGTGAGCCTCACCTTAGAGGGCTTGCGATAAGCGATTGTGACGACACCTCCTCCCTCCCTCCCTCCCTTCTCTCCCCTGGCTTCTATAAGAACGTCTTGGACAGGAAGTGTGCTTTTCCTGCTTTTTCACAGGTGAAGTGGAGGACAGAACTGTCTTCAAACGCTACAATGAGGCGCTACAAGTGGTGCGGGTCGTCAAGGGTGATGTCAAGGATGATGTCATGATGTTACGTCAAGGATGATGCCATCGACACACCTGCAATATGTGCCGGGGGCGGTTATAGGATTAGTAAGGGCAAAGTCCTCGACCTGAACCATGTCAGAGTTAACAAACAGAGGACCAGGGGTGATCCCATGGCAAACCTATCTTTCTGAACATATAGCTTACCTTTAGGGCTTCTGAACGGTGTATCGGCGATGTAAGCTCTGATCAGCTGCTCGAGAATAGCGGAAGAGAGCTGCAGAGAGGGAAGGACGCCACACCGATTGTGATACATGATACTTGGAATGATCTTAATCGTGGTGCCGATCGGAGATTTGATGAGCAAGCTCTCTACATCAATCGACGCAGGCTCACAGTTGGGGCGTCCTGTTCACCAGATATCAAGGGACTCATCAACAGAGTCCATCGACGCAGGCTCACAGTTGGGGCGTCCTGTTCACCAGATATCAAGGGACTCATCAACAGAGTCCATCGACGCAGGCTCACAGTTGGGGCGTCCTGTTCACCAGATATCAAGGGACTCATCAACAGAGTCCATCGACGCAGGCTCACAGTTGGGGCGTCCTGTTCACCAGATATCAAGGGACTCATCAACAGAGTCCATCGACGCAGGCTCACGGTTGGGGCGTCGCGTTCAGAAAATGTCAAGGAACTCATCAACAGAGTCACTGCGTTGCTGAGCTAGGATATATGGGCTCAAAAAGGGGTAAGTTTTTTTTAGCTTTTGTGTTGGTATGTTCACCGGTAAATGATGAGCGTCAGGGGTTTCCATTGTTATGGGTCTTACACCTCCATAAGCATAGCTTGAGAGATAGCCAGCGATTATCTGAGAAAGTGAACACCTCCCACAAGCGCATTGGTGGAGTTAAAAACAAAATGCTTGACTTAATCCGAAGCCGGTTTGTGGAGTCCTGTTCAATAATCTGGAGCTCACGTTCATCTGACAAGATTTCGCCTATCTTGCTGATGTACGCTGTCCGATCCAAGTTGACGAAGACAGGTGCCGTGTCCGCTTGGCGCACAATAATATGTACATCATCTCTTAACTGCCTCTCTGTATCTTTCAGTCCTTTAGTCAAAATTTTGCTGAATTTTGCTGGTGGTACCGCCCCCGTTTACAACTATATATATATATATATATATATATATATATATATATATATATATATATATATATATATCGACCAAGCAAATGCTCCGGAACAATTTTGAGTGAACCAGTTTAAGGAAAAATGTCCTCGCGCGGCGTGTTGGTATGGGACCACAATGTTTGTTACTGGATCTTTGCCACTTTTACCGAAGAACAGCATTCTCATTTCTGATGTGCCACATCCAGGTCACACACCATCACGTCACATTCAGATGATGCCCCATCAAATCATGGTCAGGTCACACACTATCACGTCACGGTTAGGTCACACACCATCATGTCACAGTTAGGTCACACACCATCACATCACGGTTTGGTCACACACCATCACGCCACAGTTAGGTCACACACCGTCACACCACGATCAGGTCACACACCATCACGTCACAGTTAGGTCACACACCATAACGTCAAAGTCGAACCACACGAGCCGCATAGCCAGACCGGTCATCCGGGTCCGTAGTAGCCTGTCACGTTGAATGATTCGCCCGGTGCATCCCTGGTCCTTCATCTGTCGTCGCCCCGCCGCCCTGGCCCAGGCTCCGACGTAGACGGCGGCGCGGGCTTAGGTCGCCTCTGTACGTCGCCGCCGGCGTCGACTGCGCCAGTCGCTCGAACACCTCCGCCGGGTATATTTGGCGCAACGGCCCGCCACTTATCATCCTGGCCGCTCCCAACAGAAGGCTGGCACCGTGCCAAAGTCACCGCCCCATTACCTGGGCCACTGGCGAGACCTTTTGACCCCGGGATAGGCGCGCGCGTGGCCTGGGGCCAGCCGCGTGCGCCGGCGATGACAGCAGGGCAAATAAAAGGGTGTGGGTCGGCGCGCCGCGAGACAGACGAGACGGAAAGAGACGCTTGATAATCGCTGTGGCACCCTCCGTCTGTCGGAATTTTGGTGCCGATCTACTCATGAAGCACGGCTGTTTTGTCGAGTTTGCTCGTTGACATGGTCTCTGCTTATTTGAAACCGGGTTTTAAGTACTCTTTTATTTTCTTCGCTCGTAAGAATATTACTGCTGCGTATTTACGTTGCTTCACTGCAACACCCCATGCAGGAATGTAGTTTCCCATTCAGTTAGGGGCTCTAGTCCCCAACTTGGGCTCCAGCTCCAGCCCCAACCCAAATTTCTAATGCATGCTGCAGCTCCCCAGCCTTGAGAATAGGCGCGCTAAATCCAGGGGGAAACCATTCGTTGGCGTATTTGGCGGAAGATTTCCTTTTTTACTGCCCCGTCTCCCAACTTATTTTTACGAAACTACACCACTGGCCCAACGCTCGCAGTATTTTCCTGGATGACCACCGCCTGCCTCTCCGCCAGAACGTGAACGCCTCGGAGCGCTGAGCCGCCACCTGTTCGTCCCGCAGTGTCGACGGCAGCACCATGCCGAAGCTGGACCGTCAGTGTCCCGTGTGCGGCGTGTCCTCCTCCATGGCCTGCGCTAGCTGCCAAACGGTGCGTATGGCAGGCGGATGGTGAGGCACGTGGTGGCTGAAGGTGTGGGTTATTTTCAGGGAATAGGTTGCCCCCTCCCCCCTAAGATCACTCTGAACAAGGGCTGGGTTATTATTAACCATCACTAGCAGCTCAAACTACCTGTTAAGGCACTTCCGAAACAGTGCTTTTTTCCTAATGGGAAAGAAAGAGAATGATAAACGCAAACCATTTCGTAGTCTCTGCTCAATGACGTGTGACAAACTGAATGGCTGGACTTTCTGTCATGCCATGACACAATTATCTGTTCCGTGATGCCCGGTCGGGTAGTCTTCTGCTGCGCGTGGCCCGGTCGGGTGACGTCCTCTGCTCCGTGTCACCAGGTCCATTATTGCAGCAGGGACCACCAGAAGCAGCACTGGAAGAAACACAAGCCGGCGTGTAAGGCGTGGAGGGTGGAGACGACGCCAGAAGAGGGGCGCTTCATGGTGGCCACCAGAACCATCCAGCCCGGTAGTGTACAATGAAAGCAATGACAATGCGCCCTTGGTGACCTATCAAACATCTCACGTGATTTAGCGCCGAGGTATCACGCGCCAATTATTTGGGCAGTGAAGCTCTGTCTGCCGGTAAAGACATGTATCTCTGATCCTCTTGTCTGTTGGACTACACATGACTTCTAGGCAGCAGACAACAGCAGGCTTTTGCTGCCGCATTCAGAGGTGGCATGCATGCATCAACAGTTGCGCTCAAAATTGGAGTCTGCCATAAATTAGCGGAGGGTCACAATGTCTGAAGCAAAGCGCAAAATGCTACGTAGCATTTGTATCCAAATTCAAGTCTGTATTTGCCGGGTCGCACCAAAAGAGCTCATCAAATTGCCCACCTTATCGAAAAAGGAGCGGTGATGAAAGCAAAGCGCCATTTTCTATGGCATCTTTTTGCGCTTGTTTTGGCACAGGATTCACTATTGCCATGATCGCGCCAGAACCCCCGCCTGTGCTGTTTTCAGTGCGCAGTGTGCTGAGACGGCTCGCTCTTTTTCCAGGCGACATAATCCTGCAGGAGCCCCCTCTCATAGTCGGACCAAAGCAGGCTACCGGGCCCGTGTGCCTGGGCTGTCACCGACCTTTGACCTATGACACAGCGCAAGGTCAACTCACACCCCCGGCAGTCCGGTGTCCGAAGTGCGGCTGGAGCCTGTGTCGTCCTGACTGCTCCAGGTATGGCATTTGGGACATTGTGACAAACAATTCGCCCGTTTCAAGTGCTCATCAACGCTTGGCACGAGATGCCTCGAAGGATTCGCTGTCGTGCACGTTGAGTCGTGCGAACGCTTGCGATGGCTGTAAACTTGACTCTAATAAACATGACGCGAGGCGTCAGTCAGCGATGATAAATATGTCAGTCAGTGGTGATAGAATGAATAACCGCGGATTGGTCCATCATTCCAACCAGCGCAACCAAACAACATGTGATAACACCATTTTTGGGCTGAACGCCGATTTCCAGATAGCTAACATACAGTCCCCACCCCCCAAAAAAAAACAAGTGGAGTATGGATAATGCAGTGCACTGCTTCACACTTTGTACATGAATACTGCGTGAATACATCGTGAAGGAGAGTTTTACCGAGAATGTTAAGAATGTAGCCGAATGTGAACGTGAATACATGGGTCCGCAAGATATGCGAGCAAGCGTGAGATGCGAATTTGTGTAAGTTTGCAGCGTCCGCTGGAGCGGGAGAAGAGGTGGTATGACGCGCGATGATCAATAGTCAGAAGGAAATGTCCGGCGTGTGACTACCATTAGTCACAGGCGGATGTTCCACGTGTGACGGTCATAAGTCAGACGCGGATGTCCCGCCGCCATAAGAGCTAGATGCTGGTCCTTATGTCTTTTTCCGCCCTGTAATTCACATTGTTATGATTATTCGACTTTAAGCTCCGATTTATATTCAAAGGGAATGTTTCACATCTCATTATATCAAAGCAGGCGTCAGATGTGATGAAATAAGCTCACTTATGACTATTCGTATACTTTTAAGTGGAAAAGGCTGCTCTAGATAACACAATTCTTCTATTAAGTTAGTGTGCTTTTCAACTCGTCATTGTTTGATTACGTCATATTATTTTGCGCAACATTTATAGAGAGCGAATTGACGGTAGTATAATGGATGTTGTGCTCACGAACGCGAGATATGAACGACTCGGTTAGTATATTTATCTTGGCCTGGATCGCCGCATGCCAAGGGAATAAGAGGATTTAAATGACGTCATTATGGCATCATGGATGTCTGGGTGACCTTGAAACAGCCTCCTCGAAAAAGTGTGCACATCTTCACAAACGTGTAGCTCAAAAACTAGAAGGGCTTAGGTCTTAAGAAGCGCAAGGGCTGCAAACTACGCCAAATAACCTTTAACATGGCTATTTCAGTCCAAAACCCCATACCAAAGTGGAACACTCGCTTTAACAGCTATTTCGTACAACAATAGCCAAATTTGACATTCCGACCCCGTACACTTTCATCATGTAATGCGAATCAATGTGCACAAGTTCTCTGAGGACCATAATGATGATTTATTTTGTCATCACAGTGACGACCTTGTACTTCATGTCATGCTTTAGTCACCTAAACATGCTTCCACATCAATGTCAGAAGCATCGAGATGTCATCACATCATATCGACGACGTGCGCACACTGACCCCGGCGCTCCGCAGATGGCACAGCCGGGACGAGTGTCTGCTGTGGTCACGTGCGCGGCGACCTTTTGACCTGCGGCCGGCAGCCTCGGGCGCCTCGCCCGTCTACGGCTGCGTTGGCCCCGTGCGCTGTCTTCTGCTGCGAAACCAACCAGAGGTGATCAGAGTTCACTGACCTGTTTCGCATGGAGCGCCACTGGAGAGTGTGCTCGATTACGCGGTAGCTGAATACCAATGCTCGAATGGGGTACGTAAACCAGTTGTGTGATTGTGCTCAATGGTGTATATGAACTGGTAGTGAGGTGGTCGGGTTACCCTCGGGCGCTTACAACTTACACTGCAAAAATGCAGCTGTCAGTAGGTCGGTTTGGTCCTGGCGTCAATTCATTTTGCCAAAGTACAGTTCCCCGCTTTTTAAACAACATACGGAATACGCTCGCACTCTAAACGCCATGCGCCCACTCGTGTAATAGTGGGAAGAAACTTAAATAGGTTCTTTTTAAGAGCCCAGAGTTGAAAGCCGCGGACAAAATGTCCACAGATAGGGAGGGTTTGCATTAAAACACAAGACTGACAAGGATTTGTACTGGAATGAGCGAAAGGACTGGAATGCGGCATATGCCTGGATTTGAAATGAAATATTCAGTGTTGTTTTACTGAACGATTGAGAGAGCCGTCTTATCACCGATGAACAATTGCTCAGACCACCGTCCTCATGTTCGTATGTGTTCGTATGCACACAAAGACCACTAAATCCCCCGTCCATCGCCATCGGGTTGGCGAGATGTTTGATGTTAGAGATATTTCCGAGAAGATCTGGGCGATATTTTGCTCTTACCCATGCACGCGTCATATCACGAATTTTGTCCTTGGTATGGCTGATACTCAAACCAGTGTCTTTTGATTGCAAATTCAGCACTCTTCCAATTGAGCTAACCTGGAAAGACATCCCCTCCGTGTTCGAGCTTGGTATCTTTCAACTCCTGAATATTTGTGGATTTTCCGCAGGATTGGGTGCCGTACTGGGCTGATGTCTACATTTATCCTACTGATATATTGTAAGCCAATGGCATGTGTGTTGCCCCCCGAACCTCTCAAATTTTCAGTTTGCTCTCTGTCGATGATAGTAGGATGGTGATGGTCTATCGCTTCCCACGTCAGTCGGTGACCGCCACCTGGCCGCGAATGCGCAGTCACACCAGACCAGACAGATGGTGCCCTTTCTGTGCTTCTCCGATGTGACCGACTGAGGGCCATATGTCTGCCCTTTGTAGGGCCTCCAACAGCTGTATGGTGTGTCGCATATGCAGGTCCTCGCATCGTTCATAGGTATCGGCGGTCTGACTTTGCTAAGGGTTCTCGGGAGCTTTGGTAAGGGCTCTCGGGAACGTTGGATCCCCTTTGAGGGCTGTCCACCTTATTCTATGTCATCCACAGAGATTCTTCTGATCCATGACAGGACATTGCTGCAAGACAACGATGCCCTTGTTGTTTGTGCCTCCTCAAGCTGCTCTGCTTGCTGAGCATGCTCTCTGGGCTCCCCGTCAAGAAAATCTTTCGGCTACTCATTCCTGCGGAACACCGGGTTCAGGATGTTCAGTTCCCCCTTTCTAGTCGTGTCATCGTCCTTGATGACATCTGCGCGACGCTGAGGACGTCTCACGATGTGTTAATTGACGGTGCCCGAGTGGTGTGACTGGAAGTGCAGGCAGCCACGGGTTGCTTTTTGTTTCCGCTGCACCGATGTTCTGAACATGTTGACGTCCCTCTCAACTATACGTCTAGAAACGGTGACTTGTCAATGTCCTCGCGTTCCACAGTGAACCGGATGAACGATCGCGAGCTATTGAGGTGGTCGATGCGTGTCGTGTCTTCCTCGTGTTACTTCAACGCTAGGGGATGAAGATGTTGCCGACGCATCGCAGCGATGCTGACGATTTGAGCTGATGCGGTTTCAGCTGTGCTTGCCCCTGATCGGGTCCTCCCGGGTCCTCGTGGTGTTCCAGGCCTGGGCATCCCTCAGCTCGATGGAGCACCACCTGGAGGAGGCGGCGACATAGTGCCCTCTACCGTCCTGAACGCCGCACAACTGGCCGCCTTCCTCACCGCCGCCCTCCCCACGGAGTGTGACGTCACTGAGGACGTCATACTCACTATGTGCGCCGTGCTGGACACCAAATGCCTTCGAGGTGAGTGACATCACGTTTAGCAGCGATATGTTTCGATACCGAGATGCCCAAGATGCGTGACGCTACTCTGGTCATGCGCATTGTGCAAGACCTGAGGCCGTCGAGACCTTCGGGCTCACCCCTGCCACCAAGTTTGTCGTGGGCGGGGTTTTCGCAATGGCAACGTGCCTTGCGACACGTTTGCAGTGTCACGTGACCGTGTGACATCTCATTCAGGTGCGGATCGGCTCGGCCAAGGCACGTGCCGTGTACGCGGGCGGCCTCCCTGCAGAACACGACTGTCGGCCCAACACGCGGCACTTGTTCGACGACGGCTACAACATCACCGTCCGCGCTACCGTCAGGATCGCGGCCGGTCAGCGGATCACCACCAGCTACACGCAGGCACTCTGGAGTGAGCAGGAGTGTGAGCTGGAGGTTATGACGTCGGGCGCTGCGGAGCGAGTAGGAGTGTGAGCTGAAGGTTATAAAGTCGGGCGCTATGGAGTTAGTAAGATTGTGAGATCAAGATGCAAGGTTATAAAGTCGGGCGCTATGGAGCTAGTAAGATTGTGAGGTCAAGGTCATACAGCCGGGAGCTGTTGAGTGAGCAGGAGTGTGAGCTGAAGGTCATCAAGTCGGGCACTGTAGAGCGAGTAGAGATGTAGGGGCGAAAGAGATGGTGTCAGGTATTTTAGAGTGAGTGGAAGGGAGAAGCGGGGAACGTCGATTCAAGTGCTGCGCAGCAGAGGCGGAGAGGCTTGGTAAGCCTCTCCGTCTCTGCCCATGGGTGAGTGAGACAAAGGCCTCTTCTGGTAAAACGCCCACGCACGACCCAGAACATCACCGCGTTCGGCCGGGTCACTTGGACGGGCACTGTTCCATTCATTTTATTTGCCTTCGAGATGACAGATGACTTTTCAGCCCTATAAATCAACTGACCTACTTTTTCAACTTACCACAACGCGCAATCGAGAATGATCTTGTATCTGAAAAAACTTTGAGCGCTTTATGGGTCAATTCGCACACGTAGAGGATAGTCTTAGGCGTGTATTTCTCCCGCGTGATTTTCAGATTGATGATAAGGAACAGATTGGCACTTACAGCATTGCCAATTCAGGACGGTATTGCCATACAACATGGCCAATGCCAAACGTAATAATTGAGTATCTATTTTTCCCGGTCCTGTAGTTTTTAAACTGCTCGGAGCAGAACCCCAGAGTTTTATGGGCGAAATGTTTTTACCAGTATAAATCTTGAAAGCTACGGATTGATCATGAGATTCTCTCGGAAGTATGATCTCAAGACGCGTGTTCGTTCTCGCGCGTCCGGCGCCGCTGCCTTGTTAGCTACGGCTGCCGATGCCGTTCAGTTTGATGACAGGTGTATCCTGGCGTCGGTATCTCTCCTCGAGAAAATCGGGAGCGGGCAGACTGAAAGCTCTTCTATGTCATTAGTTCAAGTGGACGTTTCCGAAAAACGATGCATGTCCTCAGGTGAGCATGGATCGGCCATGTCAGTGCACTTTTCTTAACTTGATCTCGATGCACTGTTGAACATTAGGGACACCTGTTACCTTCTCCGGACGAAGGGCTCCGCGGGTAGAACATTTGGGGTACACTTCCTCTCCCGGACAAGGGGCTCCGATGGTAGAACATTTGGGGTACACTTCCTCTCCCGGACAAGGGGCTCCGATGGTAGAACATTTGGGGTATACTTCCTCTCCCGGACGAGGGGCTCCGATGGTAGAACATTTGGGGTACACTTCCTCTCCCGGACAAGGGTCTCCGATGGTAGAACATTTGGGGTATACTTCCTCTTCCGGACAAGGGGCTCCGATGGTAGAACATTTGGGTACACTTCCTCTCCCGGACAAGGGGCCCGATGGTAGAACATTTGGGGTACACTTCCTCTCCCGGACGAGGGGCTCCGATGGTAGAAAATTGTAGCGTTTCCTCGTCTTGCTCCACGTCCACCCATGACTCAGCTCATGACTCGGTCCGCACTCGACTGCCCCCGTCCGGCTCAGATTTCTTTCGTCCCCCCTCACCCCTCGACAACACGCGTACTTCTCTCCTAATTTGGTATGCTTTCGTATCCGAGTTGGAGGGCTGCGGCGCAGGTTAAGAGCGTTAGGGGGGTGCGTTCTTCTCCCACCAGCTAAATAGGACGCTAGACTCCCGTGTGTTGCCGTCACTGGCCAAGTCCCGTGTGTGTATGCTTGGAGCTGTTGTAGCAAGCCCTGAGGCGCGGGTTCTGGTTGCAGATACCGCCGCTAGGCGACAGCACCTGTTGTTCAGCAAATGCTTCAGATGTCGCTGCGAGCGCTGCCTGGATCCGACTGAGCTGAACACCTGGCTTAGTTCGCTGTCTTGCCGGGGTTGCGGCGGCCCCCTGGTCAGCACAGAGCCTCTCGAGGCGGCTGCTGCGTGGCGCTGCCATCGTTGCGGCAAAAAATCCTCGGCGGAGGAGGTGAAGACGAGACTGGTGGCATGATCTATGACTTGATTTCGGTTTGGTGAGGATGCGGCATCAGGACTTATTGAGGATACGGTGTTATGCCTTATTGATAAAGTCACGATTGGAGATTAGACCAGTTCATTCAGAAACAATGCATCGGTGCGAAATGGAACGGGAATGAATTCTCGCTATCTGGGCTTGAATCGTCATGTCTAGCCACCTGAAAGAGCGTGACACTGTCCAGACAGCCTCATCTCGCTTACGACCTGGTCGTGACAAACAGCACAACAACCAGCTGGTTGACCGTCGGGATGCTCACGTCCCATTTGACCCGTCCTGTGCCTGCCTGGCAGGTGCAGGAGAGACGGGGTTCGATGGCACAGCTGACGAAGACGGCGGAGCGGTCGGTGGAGGGTCTGGAGGACGTACTCACCCAGCTCGACCCCTCCTGCAGCCAGAGGGCGGAGGTCAACTATGCCCTGGTGCAGCTGTACGGCACCGCCTCAGGCTACACGTGGCCAGGTCGGGCCGGCGTCGAAGTCGTGGGTGTCTATAGACATAAGCGATGACATGCCCGCTGAAATGCATCCACCTTTTGTCCTTAGCACTGAACCCTTTGACTGTTGGCACTGACATTAACCCTCGCCCTGATTCGATCGGCGAAGGTCGATAATTCCTGAAAATTATTTTTTAGCTTTACACGCTAACCTATTCGAAACTTTTCCAAGTACCAGCCTGAACTTTATTCAGACGTGTTCCTTGTTTGATTCTGAGCAGAATGATGTGTAGTTTTATGTTGACTCAGGATATATATTCTTAGGATATCTCTTTAACATTACGCGCCATGACCCCACAATTTTCGGTAGTCTACGGGGTATGCCTTGTGCGTGACTTGACACCAAAAACTTGTATCTGCTTTTGTTTTCTGCCTTTGAGCGCCCACAGTTTTTGGGACCATGACACGGCAACACGACGACCTACTGCCTACATGACACGGCGACGACGACCTACATGACACGGCGACCTACTGCCGGCGCGGGCGGCGGGCGGCAACCAACGAAACCAACTGATAACGCGCGGGGCGGACCGACATTACGCCATCAGCAGAGCCGAGGACCTACTTCCCAAGATAAGGCGCTGGCTCTGCCTTTGAGTGTCTCTAAACGAAGCTGGCAAAGCGATACAGTGTCACCCAGACATAAGCAACACCGGTTAGGCAATGGCGCCGTGACACAGTGTAACGTCACTGACGATATACGACGTTACAGAATTGACGGAGAAGCAGTTGGAGAGGAAGGAGCAGCTGTGCCGGCAGCTGCTGCTGCTGGCGGACGCTCTGACTCCCGGCCAGACGCGCTTCAGGGGCGTGCTGACGCTGGAGCTCTGCAGGACGCAGAGACATCTGTCGGTGAAGACACGAAGCCCCGACACGGTGAGGATGGCGCATGATACTTGACTGGAAAGCTGCTTACATGACTTGCAATCACAACACAAGAGCACATAGCTTTGCGGCGCAGTAACTCTTTCATCGTTTATCTGCGTTGGGAGAAGGAGGGGAGGGGGGCAGCTGAATATTAATGGTTGGTAACCAGGGTGTCACTTCCTAAATCGGTCGGAGGCTAAGCCAACATGCTTAGTCTACCCAATCCGAACTCCTGATTTCTCCCCGGATTGCGGCTAATTTGTGCCGCGTTCCTGATGTTGGAATGAAATGTTATTAAGTGGTAACCCTGTTTTGTAGGCAGTTACCTCTTACTGCAGGAAAAGAGTTACCTCTTAAGCTGACGTGCAATTTTTGAAGTACCCATGCAGTGCGCACGGAAGACTGTGATGAGGAAACCTTGCGTAAGTGCTGGAAACTAAGATGTCGATTGATGTGACTGCAGATCCTAGCACGATGGTTAACACTCAAACGACCATGGTGTTCTCACGTTTTACTCTCTAATTTTCTGATTATTCTGCGGGGAATAAGGCTATTATTATCGCCTTACTTTTGTGTATACCGTTTTTCACGAATGCACTTGACAGCCAACGTGGACAGAGATAATGAGTTAAAAATTGGCGCAAAGCCGCGCCCCTGACTAAGAACCCATTCCATTCCATTCCTCGTCGCAGGTGCGGTGGAAGGAGATTGCCACTCTTCTGGAGGAGGCTTCCACTATTTTATTCTGCGAGCCTGGCTGGCTAGAGGAGCTGGCCAGGGAGGAGAGACAGCTGAAGAAGGACATCACACGCTTGGTGGCGCCATAGCGGCTTGGTGGAGTGCTGATGTCGTTATAGAAAGATTGCGCGTTCAAGTCTCGGCACGCGCTGTTTTCAGCTTTCTGCTGCTATTGGCTTGATTGCCGCAGTCAGGACATTGCTCATGAGTGGGACCGGATTGAGCCATAAGAGCCTTTCCAGCTAGGCAGCTCTGCTTAGGCTTACGTTCTTTGTTCACTGATTCAAGGCACCGTCATAGGCTTAGATGCTATTTTGATTATTTGGACCCTTCTTACCCATCTAAAACCCGACGTGCAGCCTAGATTGCTAAAAATGCCAGGACTTTTTGCCAGTGCCGCCTCCAATTGTGGGGAAGGGGGAGGCAGCACGACCCCAAAACTGCCCTTTGGGGGGGGGG